ATCATCCTTTTACAGTGAAAAATGGAGTTTATGCCAACTTTATGCCAGCTTTATGGTAAAAAAAAACAAAAAAAAAAGATCATCCTTTTACAGTGAAAAATGGAGTTTATGCCAACTTTATGCCAGCTTTATGGTAAAAAAAAACAAAAAACAAAAGGATGTTATGTACCTCATCAATCTCTGCCGTAATCTTCCCTTCATAGACATGTCCACGTCCCAAGCGTCTCATATATGCAAGGAACTCTTCCCTCTCCTCCACCTCAGTCATCACTGTTAGGTCACATAAGAAAAAATACATCAGGGATAAAAAAAATTAATAATAATTAAAAAAAAAAGAGACAAACAAAGAGAAAGAGAGAGAAGCAAAAAGGAGGAGGAGGGTGTGTGTAAGTCGTGGGAAAGATGGAGAAAGCAAGTTCATCTTTTTCTTTTTTTTTTAAGAGAAATCCAGTGACCACTACTAGAGGGGGTGATAAGCGCAGCCGCCTCTAGTAGCTGTCCTTGGCTGCTCCATCTATTGGTGGGGAGCTGCACCCGCTGGAAACCGGGTCCAGCGTCCCCCTGTAATAACAAGACCGTCAACAAGAATGTTTGAGAGCAAGTTCATCGTGGAGGCTTTTGCAATCAAAAGATGGAGATGGAGGACACACAAAGGACTCAGAACGTTTTTGATTTGTTCCACGAAAAATGGTCACCACCTCCACTCCACGTGTCAAGCGACCACAATCACACTCGCGTTATTTTTTAAGATATTATATTTTCTTCTCTGATGAAATTCAATACATTTAAGAGCTGTTCCCTGATGAAATTCAATACATTTAAGAGCTGCACGGTAGGAGGGGACCCGTTTTCCAGCAAAATGGCATCATGATAAATGATCCATAATTCTGTAAAGATAAATTAAGGGACGCTGGACCCGGTTTCCAGCAGGTGATGCTCCCCACTAATAGATGGAGCGGCCCGCTAGGCAAAGCCTCAATCCCGATGGTTCTCTTACCAACATGGGGATAGAGGTCTTGGCCTTTCTTGTTGGGGGGGGGGGGGGGGGGGGAGGGGGAGGGTTAGTTACAAACCACTAATGTCTTTCACCCGAATACAACGTATTTGGGCCATCTGTGAGTCTAAATGCATCAATAATCATTGAACAATGACCGCTTGTTGCATTACAGTGAAGACAGTAGAGCAGGACCATCAAGAAACCCTACAGCACAAGGACAAAGATGCAAAAAACGTGAATCGCTCAGATTGCCACTGAAAAAT